TATATATATATATTATGGAGCTACAATATCCTGATGTCTTAGCTGGTATTATTATCACTTTTACAATTTTATAAATGGGGAAAATGAGGTTGAAAGGTCGAACGCTCTCTTCCATATTAAGAAAGTTAATTAAAGGCAGAACGTATTTTCTGATTTATATTTCATTATGCTTACTTTGGTCATATTCACAGTCTACTGCAATCCCACATAGCTAGGAACAGTCAAGCCCTTTCATCCTGCAGCTGCCTTCTGCCTGTGTGAAGGCCTTATTGACTTCAAAGGATCTCTATCTAGGGAACAGATAGTGTTAACAGTTTGGTTTGGAGAGAAAATGAAAACAAATTTTTCTCCCCTTCTGTTCATATGGTATCTTTTTCCTTCTCAATGAATTGAAGCTAAAGTTTTACATGATTTTTTTTTTTATATTTCCAAAGGTGTTTGATCTTTACATGAAGCATATTGCAAACAAAAATCAATTAGAGCCCATATTTTACTTTCTCAGTAGTTGAAAATTTAAAAACTTAAAATATTTACTTTTAGTTCCAGTGTAATAAGGTTTTTTGGTGGGTAAAAAGAAATTTTATTAGAAATATTTAGGTTTGATACTGAGTCCTTTCTATGCAATTCAACTGCTTTGTAATTGGGATAGGCTGTAGGTTATATGTGTTCAAAATGAACAAAGTGATTGAACTATGACTATTTTTACACGGAAAAGAATTTCTGGTGACTTGCTTCAGTATTTTTTTTGTATGTAAGGCTAACTCAAATTCAGAGTGATTGGGTGACCTGTCCGAGGACACTAGCTATCACATGGAGGAAGAACCCAACATTTTATGCACATCTCACTGTCATGCTGGGGAAGATTTCAACAATTTTGCAAATTTCATAAAAGGCCTCTGAGTGAAGAACTTAAATGTGATCTTTCAAATTAGGTGTGATCATATATAAAGCCCAACTAGATAGTCTCCTACCTTGACTGAATTGATGTAATTTCCATCTGTAATACAAAAACTCAGATTCAGCTCAGCTCAAATTTTACTTCATTCTGCACGTTTCATATCAGCATGAATAGTTATGTTGAGTGTTTTACTAAACAAATTTGGGAATAAGCTAGTGATCTTTTTTTTTTCAGTGTGGGGGATTGAACATAGGGCCTCAGGCATTTTGGGCAGGCACTCTGCTACTCTGCTAGATTCCCGGCCCAATCTGGTGATTGCTAAATAAAATGATCTTCATGACAGTATTATGATTTTGTCAAAAAAGCAAGGCAAAACATGATTTTCCTATCTTTTTAAGGATACTTAAAATATGAAAATTATAGAAAGAAAACTGTATCTCTGTAAAACTGTATAAGACATAAGTTTAGGATTTGATGTAAGCCTTGTTTTACCTTTCTTGGAACATTCCTGTAAGCCTGCATTTTCATTTGCTTTTCTACGACCAGTGTTAATGCGAGGTTGTACATGATTATATGGAGTTTGCCTGTAACCCTGGATTTGAAGTTGCTGTTTGGCTGATATTAATCTGTTTTTGAGGGCTTCATTTTGTCTTTCAAGCTCATGCACTTTCTCTTGTAGCTGCTCAATCATTTCTTCCATTTCCACATCTCGTCCCAGCCGCTTGGGGCCGCCACCAACCCGCTCATATCTTTTCTTGTCATTAACTAGCCGTATTAACTTGGTGGCCATTCTAGGGAAATAATAAAAAGATGAAAAGGAATGTGAGAAGTCAGCATAAAATGCATTCTGTTGAAAGGAACATAATCACTGTGAAGACTTCAGTGCAGAACCTGAATAATAAATTTCAGGTTTTGATGTAACTATTACTGCCTGTGAAGAATCCTTTGATGATAATTGAAACCACTGGGCAACAATCTGCTTTATAGCACTGACAAATAACAGTTTCCTAAGGCTTATCATTTAAGGTTAGTAAAGAGAGGACACATATTTACTCCATATGTTCCCAAAATGCAATTTTTAACGCATGACCTTATATAGGAATGCTGTATGCACTTAAATATAGTTACAGATTGAGGATGTGGTGGGTTATATCTGCAATCCACAGTATGTTAAAACTTTTGAAAAGTGTGTTAAGACTGTACAGCATTTAGGTAATATACTGTTTTCAGTTTCTGAAGGATTAAGACAAATTATACATATAAAATTGTTAGAATGCATAGATGCACACATGTAAAGTCCAAATGAAACCTTTCAAAGAAACCAAAATATGCTATTAAATATTGCTTAGTGCTCAAGGAACATAAATACTTAATGGTAGAAAATAATTAGACACAAATATTAGTATTATCTCAATGGTATTTTAAAATTTAGACATAAAGTGTGCATAAATTCTGATACCTCAGGAGTTTATACCTTTGATTCTTTCAAGTTTTGATAAAAACTGGTTAGACAGAACAAAAGACAGAAAGGGCACATGGGGGTGCTGTAATATACACCTACAGAAAACATGTCTGACAGTGAATGGAAAAATCTTGGCAGGACAAGAAAGAAAAGGTGGCTTTGATGAGAGACACAAGTTCAAGACTTTACAAAATTGGTCGCACATCTTCAATGGCTGATTCTAGTTTATAGTGAATCTATTTTTATAAAGACCCAGACAGGAGATTGAAAATAAAAACACACTTCATTTTTCTTTAAATGGGGTTTGCTTTATTTTACCATGGTTATGGGCAGAAGCTTTTACTTAAGAGAACAAAAGTGAAATAAAAAAGTCCTTAATAGTTTTGGGCTGTCACAGAATTTTTTTTTTTTTTTCCTTGTAAGCACAGTCCTCTGTAAATGCGGTAGTAATATATGTCTATCTACACTTTTGGCTACTCAGCCTACAGCATGAGGCATCAGGGAGAGCTATGCATAACATAATCAGTTAAGATTGTTTTCTGTTTCCCTTGAGGCACATCCATTAAGCATGCTTTATAAGGGATATAGGATAATAAAAACCAAGATCCAAGGGTACCACAAACATCCTAGTAAAATAATCAATGGATTAGTTCCTTTTCCACCTAATCCAGAGAACGATATATCACTGGGAAATCTGGCCAGGTATCACAGTCCAACAGAGCCATGTTCTACCTTGCTCATTAGGTGCTGAGCCCCTCCCAAGGTGTTACCCATAAAAACAAAGTAGTGATCCAAATGAGATAGTTGAATCTATCTCATAGTTTAATCTCGTTATAAAGAGACTATCACACAGAAATATAGATTAAATTCAAAACAAATGTACAGATTTAATATGAGAAGGTAATTAACATCTGAAGGAAGAGAAATAATCTTAATTTTTAAGGCCAAAGAAACATTTCAACACTGTCTTTAAATTCATTATATGGTATTCAAGTAAACTTTGTTTGGAAAAGTAAGATAGAATGTGTTTGTCCGGTAACAGAAATACTTTCCATTTGAGTGTTTTATGATATTAGTACTTAAACTAGGTTACACAGTCTATATTTATATGAAAGAAAGCGATGTTAATTACATTTTAGGGATAAATTTAAAGACAGTTTTACCCAAGTATGTAGGTTACTGTCAGTGGTGTAAGACTGAGAAGGAGTTTAGAGCTTTGGGTCAAAGTGTTCAATAGACTGCTACTCCCATAGCTGAGTAAAATGAAATCCCAGAAGGTTAACTGGCTTGAATATATAGTAGGTTAATGGTAAAGAGGTATGCGGACACATGCAAAAAATTTGATTCCTTGTCCAGTTCTTTTCCCACTGTGTAGTTCATTATTATTGTTTTTTATTTTCTGGCTAGGACAAATTACTAATGAGGTCAAGATTATTAGTTCAATTCTTTCACTGGCCAACTAGGCTTATGAAGAAAATAAAAAAATTTAGCGGTTATAGAATACATGCCTAATTCTGCCTAGTTGAAATGGGTGTGCTGTTGGTGAGAAAGGAATTCAGGCCAGTCTTGAAAATGGTATTTTCTGGACCTAAAAACCAGCTCAAAGGGCTGAATTCAACAGATCAGAAGATTGTTAAAACAAAGCCCACAGAGTAGAAGGTGTACTGCAATCACTTCTTTAGATGAACTCTAAGCAGAAAAAAACTCTGTCTTCTTTTTTCAATGGTTATTTCACTTTTAGAATATGAATGCGTGTGGCTGGGGATTTAGCTCAGCAGCACTGCGCCTGCCTGGCAAGCACAAGGTTGTGAGTTCGATTCCTGGTACCAGAAAAAAAAAAGAATATGAATGCGAATATAGACTTGCTCATGCTTACAAATGTGAATATACTTTTGTGTTTTTAATGCTATATATTCACGAGATAGGCACAGTGTATCTCAATAATAATTTTTTTTTTTTTTTTTTGAGACAGGGTTTTTTGAGACAAGGTCTTGCTCTGTCCAGGTTGGCCTTGAACTCACTAGGTAATCCAGGTGGGGCTTGAACTCATGGCAATCCTCCCTCAGCTTCCCAGTGCTGGAATTATAGACATGTGCCACCATGCCTGGCTTTCAATAATAATTAAAGATATTTATTCTTGATATTATTTCTGCATAATTTATTTTTGCATACAAATCAAAAGTTATAAGGTTTTTTTTTTCTCAGAAACAATAAAGCTACTTTAAAATAAATACAGAATCCAGACTAATGCAAGCAAAGTTAAATAAATTCCAGAGATTAAAGTGATGTTTTCAGACAGGAGTGGTGGTACATGCCTGTAATCTCAGCAGCTGGGAGGCAGGGGCAGGAAGATTACTGTGAATTTGAGGCCAAACTAGGCTACATATTGAGTTCAAGGGCAGTATGACCTACTTAGTGAGCTCTGTCTTAAAACAAAACAAAAGAAGACAAGACGGTGATGTTTTCAATAGTAAATCCCAAATCTTAAGGGAACATGCATTCTGACAACTTGGAATAGCTAATTACTTTTTGATACTTTCATTTCAAAAACCTGACATTTAACAAAGAGATGCTTTGGCCATTTACTTATTAAACTATAAATATTAAACCAAAAGGTATTCAGAGGTATGATATACTCAAGGCCCTTTTCATGATTAGCTCTTTTCTTTCAAATAGCAACTTCAGACATAATAAACATTCACAATCTTTCTGGTTTATTATTCTAGTTTGTAAGATTTTCCATTTTTAAAAATTCTATTTATTTACAAACTGCCTATTCCAGAAAAGATTGAAGGTTGGGTTTTCAATTAAGTTTATAAAAAAGGATATTCTCCAAACACTGCAGAGTCAAGAAAAAAAGCTAAAAGCTTTTTATCATAACCTTTTAATTTTATCCTCTTGCTTACGGGCATGTTGTTTCAGTAAAATGTTCTCCTCATGCAAACGCAAAAATCTGTCTTCTAGTTCCTCACGACTGACACGTGACACTGCCTGGTAAGACTTCATTGTCCGTGTTGTTGAAATTTCTGAAAAGAAGCCAAGGTAATTAATTGTAGGATTACTTAGAATAGTCTCTAAAAATGATAACTGTTGCCAATAAAATAATCACATGAACTCTGATTTTTCTTCTTTGTGACCTAAAATTAAGACCCCTTTAGCAAATGCTATAGCATGGTTTACATCAATGAATTGAGGTGAGAATAAAAATCTTTGTGATTAATACTTTATATACAGGGGCTGGGGATTTAGCTCAGTGGCACAGTGCCTGCTTGGCAAGCACAAGGTTGTGAGTTTGATTCCTGGTACTGGAAGAAAAACAAAACAAACAAAGAAAATCTTTATATACATTATCAGAGATTTAGGCAATAACAGTATTGATTAAAAAATGTATTTAAGTAATCATCGTTTCAGAATATAAGGTAGAACTCCGATTCAATGGATTTTCAGCATTTATATGATAATGTTATAAAAATTCAAGTCAGAAAAGTCAGTATATCTAGGCTGGGAATCTGGCAGAGTGCTTGCCTAACATGTATGAGGTCCTGGGTTCAATCCCCAGCAATTTAAGAAAGAAAGAATGAAAGTAAGAAAGAAAGAAAAATAGAGTACCTAAAAACATTTATCCTTTATAAAGGGAAGAATTATAATAATTTGGTGAACAAAACCTGATTAAGATGTTTTTCTGACCTGCAGATATTAGCTTATAGAAAATAAATAGTTGAGGGCTGGGGATTTAGCTCAGCGGCAAAAGCGCCTGCCTGGCAAGTGCAAGGTCGTGAGTTCAGTTCCCGGTACCGGAGAAAAACCAAAAAA